ACTAAAAGATCTGCCTCCCATTCTACTTTTAGAAATTCTAGGAACCACTAGTAAACCTGCAGATTGAGAGCGAAGTGCTCTGTTAGGAACATAGGGAACAATCTTGGGAACAAAAATTTTATTCTTGATTCAACAAGAAGCCAAAAAAGAGAAGCCAGGATAGGAGAAATATGATCTCTCTTTTTAATTTTCATCAGAACTCTGGCTGCAGCATTTTGGATCACCTGAAGGCCTTTAACTACAGTTTGTGGACTTCCTGATAGTAAAGAATTACAATAGTCCAGCCTTGAAGTAACAAATGCATGGACCAGTTTCTCAGCATCACCCCTGGACAGGATATTTCTAATTTTTGCAATATTGCGCAGATGAAAGAAGGAAATTCTAGAAACCTCTTTGATATGGGATTTAAATGACAGGATCTGATCAAAAACAACATCAAAATTTTTTACTTTATTACCTGAAATCAGTTTAATCCCATCCCAATGGGATTAGGTCCCAAGACTATAACTTCTGTATTGTCTGCATTCAGAAGGACAAAGTTAAGAGTCATTCAGGTTTTTATGTCTTCGAGACATGCCTGTAATCTATGTAATGAGTTAGCTTCATCTAGATTTATAGACAGATATAGCTGGGTATCATCAGCATAACAGTGGAAATTAATCCCATGCTTTCTTATAACTCTACCGATTGGGAGCATATATAAGATAAACAGAATTGGTCCTAGCACTGATCCCTGTGGTACTCCACAGGTAACCTTAGAGCATGAGGAAGATTTGTCATTAACGCGACCAAACTAAAATCGATCAGATAAATAAGATTTAAACCAGTCTAGTTCCTGCTGTTCCTTTAATTCCTGCAAAATATTCAACTCTTTCTAAAAGAATATTATGATCAACTGTATCAAATGCAGCACTGAGTTTTTGTTTTTTTTTTTACTTTTTTTTTTTACTTCTTTCCATGGAAATGACTAATTTCCCAATCATAAGCAAATTCTAGTAATGACAATACAACTGTTGGAGTTCCTCAGAAACGTTGCGCTTTAGCTATGGATGCCTTTTGTTTCTTATTTCTGCAGTTTTCTTCACCCAACATATTGTTTGTTTGATATAAAGATCATTTCCAGCACTTGAGAGCAGCGGAGAACAGAAAGCAAAAAAAAAAAAGCTGGTATTCTTTTACCTGAAAAAAAAAAACAAAACAAAAAACTGATCTTTAATTCCCAGGACTTTCAATGGAAAATGGGCATATGCTTTGCTTTTCACTATTTGTACAGTGTTCTATTTCAGTGGGAAAACACAAGAATAAATATTTAATTGTCTTTTTTTTATTGTCCTCTGTCTACAGCCTGTCCATCAGGTTTTTTCAAGCCTACTCAAGGAGATGAGTCCTGTATGCAGTGTCCAATCAACAGCCGTACCACGAGTGAGGGTGCCATCAACTGCATTTGCCGTAATGGATACTATCGTACTGACTCCGATCCACTCCAGATGCCATGCACAAGTATGTATACATCTGCATTTGTTTTATAGTTTTTTTAACATTGAAGTCACCTGACAAAGATTCAAGACTGGGGACGATTCTTTAGCGTCAAATATGAACTCTTTGGCATACACATTTCTTAGTCAGAAGTAGAAGTTTCTTGGGTCAAAAGAATGATAAAGGTCTGCTTGGCTTTAAGCAGAGAAATCCTGTCAAAGCTGCCCCTCACTTAAACATAATGCTGACATGCTCAAAGTATGGCTGTCCACAGATCTGACCTAACAGACAAGGCTCGGCTGCCCTCCCTCAACATCACACAGTCTCCGCTCCAATGCAGACTGGAGGTTAGCGGGCCAGGGCGAATTTCTTTATACAGGGTCAGTCTCAGAGAATGAACCGGGGTGAAGCCTTCCCTTGTGATGCCAATGAAGCCTATTGAATTAGAATTTGAATTTGAGGCTGACGCTGACACGAGGAAAGAGAGGGCTAGATGGATGGAAAAAGAGAAGCAAAAATGATCGCGGGAGAAGTTCAGGATAAAAGAGGAAATCACTTTTACTTGAAAAGAAAACAGGTTTGAACAGGAGAACTAGTGCTGAGTAAAACAAAATCGAACAGTATTAAAAAAATTATCACCTATAAATACTTCCTCAGCCTGTTGAAAAGGAAGAGGGGGGAAAAGATTTGATGGTCTCCAACAATGGAGATTTGCATAAGCCTCGGTCTTGGAGTTGAGCAGCTGTTGTGAATGAGAAAGCAGCAGCGTCACGTCAGCCGTATTAAACGCAGCGGGTCTGGTCTGATTAAAGCAAGAAAACAGGCCCATCAGAGAGGCCCGCTGGCTAATGGGAGGGATATTAGTCCTCCTCCCTTCGAAGGACATGCCAAAGAGGAGTTGTGTTTCAGAAAGACTCCAGGAAGGGCACTCCGACGGGCTTTCTTCCACTATGGGAGATCTTTTAATTGCTGCCAATTAAAAAGAGGTTAAGTAAAAAGTGATCGATTCATAGTTAGGATGTTGTGGGCGGAGTGGAGCTGTTTATCTCGTTAGTCCTGGAGGATAGCTCTACCATAATTAGGTGCATATGGCCGTAAAAGATAAACAGTTTTCTTTGTTTATTTGTTTGGCCTGCCACTCGACATCCAGCACCATGAGGAAAGTTTCCTCTCTACTGTCTGAATAAACAAATAATATAATATCTAATAATAAATAGGTTTCTCTTAGTGGCCATTCTGCCCTTCATTAGAAAATTGTTAAAAGAAAATGTTAAGAAAGCACTTGATAAAGTGGAGATCAGTTTTGAAAATGAGAGTGCAAATGGGCTCCTCAAGGGAAAAGGCACTGCATGCCTGGAATGCAGTCAACTCAAAGAGCCTATACAGACAAGCTTGAGGAATTTCTCTCCTCCTTGTAGGGGGGTTGTGTAAGTAGAGATAGCAATTATGCCCTTCACTTTGTCAATGGCACAACACATCATCCATCAAGAGCATATACTAGTTACTGTCCAGAAGTTGTGCTTATGTGAACTACAATTGGATTTGTTAAACTGGTTTTTATGACTTTATTTTAAATCTCAGCAAATTATTTACTTTACACCCCCGTGTGTTTTTGGGGTCAAATAAGAACAATGAATGGACACTTGACACACAGTTAAAGCTGCCCATAAATGTCCAATGTTTAAGAAAGTACTAGATTAGAACAGCAACATTAATGGGGTCATAGTAAATCATATTGACTTGTGCAGATTTTTTTGGGGGGATAATACTATTACATGGGGATTTAAAATGAAATTAAAATGCATGCTGTATAGTGCCTTAAGAAAGTATTCACACACAATTTCTTAAAATTTATAACGTGTATTTCATTGTGCAATTATCTGGTGATGCAACTCAGGGTAGCTCTAAGGGAGCTGCAGAGATCTATGACTCAGGTAGGAGAATCTGAACAATTGCTAATTATGAACTAAATAAAAAGGTCTAAATTCTAGATCTACTGATCTACTGCGCTGTAACTTTTATGTAAATCGCTGCTCATTAAAGTAGCAGGGCAGTACATCCATGTTCTAGGAACTCTGTTTAGTAGAGATAGTGAAGTGGATTAGAGTTTTTAGGTAGGTGGATAGAGTCAAATGCAGGAAGAAGTACCCCCGAAGAAATTGGCATTCAGACCTAAATTTAACAGAGACTTTTTGGTGTACATTGAATATTGGTTTTAAAAATAATTACCACTCAGCCTGAATGTTAGAGAGTGTATTTCAATCTTTTCCAGTTTATTTAAATAGCACCAACTCACAACACCTATTTATCAACGCATAAACAGAAAAAAAAAACTCTAACTAATTATGTGGACAGATTACAAGTCAACTGTATGCTTTGCAATTGAGCCTAGTTTTTATTTATTTATTTATTTATTTATTTATTTATTTATTTATTTAATCAGGACAGAGAACATTAACGAACAATCTTATACTTCTGTACAGATTGTAAATGAGCCAGACTATAGCATAGTTGCTAATTTACATCTGTCGTCCTGAGGCAGGAAGACAAAACAACACAAGATCACATAATACAATCTCAGTCAAAACACATAGACACACGTTCAGACAATGACATTACAACAATAAAATTAGTGAGTGTATGAGTGGGAACTTTTAAGAAACTGTTTAAGGTGCTTTTTAAATGTGCAATAAGTGGGACATTCCCTGATGTTTTTTGGGAGGCTGTTCGAGAAGTGACCCCCACTGACTGATAGAACAGTTTGTCCAAAGTATGCAATGTGTTGTAGTTAGGTAGTCAAATTGGTTATAAAGTCACTGACATGCAGCATTTGCTCCTCCTGAAAGAGCACGCAGTAACAGTGGAAAGAAAACTTAAACAAAGAGATACCTCCAGTAGAACCAAGTTCAGTGTAAAGGGTCATTTCCCACAGCACACTCAGGGTTTGAGAGAAAGATTTAAACTCAAAAGAACATTGAAGGACTGTTTTAGAATTGCTTTCTTTGGGAAAGAGAAGTTTAAAAAGGTAATGGCAGTTCAAGCTCCTTTAGTGTCTTTTCATGAAGAGAAACACATATAGGCAGATAAGATCTGAGAAGGTTTTTAAGACCAGGGGATAAAAGAGAACTCTCACAATAAGTTGCAGTAAAGGCTCAGCAAGTAGCTATGTATAAAAGAGAGGTAACCTCAACCAATGAAAGACAGGGCCGAGTGTATCATCTATAGAAGAAGAATACACTTGGCCCTCTGGGTTGTACTGCTGCCAAAAACTCCATATTCCTCCTCTATAGTGATACACTTGGCCCCGCCCAATATTGGTTGACCCTGTAGGGTGTCATAGGAGGATGTCACATCTAAACAAAACACCAGGCCTGATGCAGCCTCTACGAAGAGTAAAAAAAAAAACAGAAAATGAAAAGCCAGAAAAACATAAATAATACAAAACTTAATACCAGTAAAAGTGTTGTAACTTCCCCATCCCAGATTATCAGGGAGATAATCCAGCTTTGTTTGATCTGCACCAAAGGGCATTTTTTTTTCTAACCCGTATCTATGTGCCTCCACAAAAGCTCAGTACCAGGACCTGACCTGTTATACCTACAATTTATATCATTTAAAACAATTTAAAACCCCACCTGGACGCAGCCCATGTCTTCACACAGCATATTTATTTCATTAAGAGCTTTTAGTTACAAGGTGCTTTGCTTTTCTAGCTTCAGCTGAATACTGTATTAATGACATAGGCACAAATACATTGTCTGATGCTCACATGCCAGTGAGCACTGCGCTCAGTTGAGCAGCGATAAACAAGTCAAATTCAGGGCCTTTTTTCTCTCTAACACAAATACACACTGACACCAGCATCCATTAAATTAAACAGACTGTATAAGAATAAAATTCAGACCTGAGAGAGCACTACATAATTATTTCAAGAGCTTTTACCTTAGGTACTAAAAATACCTCAGAGCTCAAGTGAGCTTATTGAAATGTCACTGTTTATTTTAATAACTGTTGTGTTTACTCACTGATATTCAGGAAATGCTCTAAAGTCTGAGGTGCAGTAATAGAATATCATCCACAGTCACTAGTTCTATTAAGTGGCATTCTCCTTTATTTAATCACAAAGCTTAAATAAATTGGCTCACTAAGATGTAGGCTTAACAAAAATGAAATAAAAATAACTTCAGTTGATGTCATAACTGTAAATCGCAACATGCCCAATTTTTTCTTAATTCATACCTGTGCCCATATCTGTGAAATAGTGCAGTTTTATTCTTCTACCCGTAATTGAGCATTTACTTCAGTAACCTGCTGTTTCCAACTAGTGCAGAAATCTAATTTGCACACAGAACTGTTAGTTGCTGGAAAAGTACAAACTTGATAATACATTAAGAGTTTTTATTTAATTACGTACTATAGGTACTGTATGTCCCTCAAGGGATTAGGCATGATGTTCAATCTGACTCCTAATTGTTCTGGGTGAAATTGGCCTGTTGGTCTGTTGTGCTTATCGTCTGGCTAAAGAGTACGACAAAAAGGGTTTTAACCTCAATTTTTATTTTATTTTTATGTGTGGGGTCTCATAAGTTTTGAAAGACACCCGACAATTTTACAAACTTTGAGTGTAAGCAAGCCTCAAGATGGAGAAATTAAATTCTATTCTGGAATTAATCAGGAGCAATAAAAGGAAGAAAAATAGGTAAAACATTTTGTCATTTTATCAGAATTTCGAAACATATTCCTTACTAATGGTAATTGCTATTGGAGCAAAATTTGGTGAGCTACAATCACAACTACAAGACAACAGAATAGAAATGTATACAACACTTTTTAGATTTTTTTTTTTTTTACACACATGAATATGTAATGTTCATTTTACTTAATAACCATGTCTATGCTATGCTTTTTTTTAAATAAAACCCTTTTTCTGGCAGAATCCCAGAATACAAGAGCTATTCTAAACATTTATGTCTGTATGCAACTATTTCATCAAAGGGTTTTCCTGCTTTAACATTTGTCCGTTTACATTACTAAATGCTGAAACTATAAATCTGTCTTGCTTTTCAGCTGTTCCCTCAGCTCCACAGGCTGTGATCTCAAGTGTGAATGAAACCTCTGTGATGCTGGAGTGGATGCCACCCCGAGATTCTGGAGGCCGTGAGGACGTAGTCTTCAACATCATCTGCAAGAGCTGTGGCGGAGGTCGTGGAGGGTGCACCCGCTGCGGGGACAATGTTCAATTTTTACCTCGTCAGCTCGGCCTGACAGAAACCCGGGTGTACATTAGTGACCTGTTGGCCCACACGCAGTACACGTTTGAGGTGCAAGCTGTCAACGGGGTGTCAGATCAGAGCCCCTACTCTCCTCAGTATGCCTCAGTAAACATTACCACTAACCAGGCTGGTAAGTGGGTCCATCTGTCTTCCTCAGCACTTTGCATTCGCCATGTGGTTTTCTCTTCTTTTCTTCTTTCCTCTCCTATTCTGTAAGTCTCCTGTTCCTTATGCCCTGTACAATTTTCATCACACTTTTTTCTTCAAAAGCACATTATGTGTTATGCAAAGTCTGCCTCTTTCCTCTTTTCTATGGTGATGTATGTAGATTAAGAGCTATGAAATGGGAAACAGAGCACCGCTGATGATGTGACAGACAGAATGTGATGGCCTGTTTGTCTTTAATGTGTGACCTCATCTACGTATTTCAGACTCTAGAGCAGAGGCAGCTTGCTGCTGTCTACCTGCTCGATACTGTTAAGTAACTACAACTTCATACAAGCACTTTGCTGAGGAGGAAGATATAATAAGATATCATTGTAGAGTTTGTATTATATAGCTAAAAAAAAAACTTCCAAAAGGAAGAATCCAGTTTTTAATATGAAGATTTACAGAAATGTGGTTTTGTTTAAAGGGTTAGCCTCTTTAAGATGCAGAAGATAATCCTTAAGATATTTGTTGCAGATGAAGGTATAATCCTTTATTGAACATCGCAGTTGTCATTTTCTTTTTAAGCATCTTCATGAAAAATATCATATGGTGTGCAAAGCTTTCCTTCTTAGAAAACTAATGTACTGACAGATGCCATTTGACTTTGATTTGTGTTTAGTTTGTGTTTCTAAAGGCTGATTCATACTTTGAAACAAGGTCGTCTGCATATGTGTCCAAGTGAACACAGAGACGTTCCCACACCTTCCGCAGACACTCTGCTGCACCTCGCCCAAATTGTAGGTGACCGCAGACAAGAGGCCTCTGATTGAGCAAATCTACATGCGCTCTCCACTATGCATATCTCCTTTTTGGTACCTTACCTGCTTGTTTTGTTTGTATGACCGCCATTGCGGAAAACTACTTGTGAAGTTGAACCAGCTAGAAGAGCGAGGTGTGCGAGAACGCTGGGACCCTTTTTCTCCCCGCTCTTTTTGTCCCTCCGTTGTCGGACAAACTTGCCCCCACTTCCTCACTGCCTCTGCCGTATCTAGACCCACAGCTAGTTCGTGATTGTCACTCTTGCGTTGCAGCGTGGAATAACATAGCGCAGACCACCCTTCAAAATTGACCATAAATCATAAATGTCTGCGTCATACCTGCAACAAGCTCACTGCGACACACTGCTGCGGAAGTATAACCAGCCAATCAATCCATCCATTTTCTTACACGCTTATTCCCCAAGCGGGTGGCGAGGGGTGCTGGTGCCTATCTCCAGCTGTCTATGGGCGAGAGGTGGGGTACACCCTGGACAGGTCGCCAGTACGTATAACCAGCTCTTGAAGTGAAATACTGTCCTAAAAGTGTTGATTGTTCTTCATCCACCATGCCCTAACAGAGATATTTTCCATGCCATCCATCCATTTTCTTCCCCTTATTCCCTCGGGTCGAGGTGGGTGCGATGCCAATCTCCGACAGTCTACAGGCGAAAGGCAGGGTCAAACTGTATAGGTCACCAGTCATTCACAAGGCAACAAATAGATATGCAACCATACACACTCACCTAAGGCAATTTAGTGATGCCAGTTAACCTAACAGTCATGTTTTTGGACTGTGAGAAGAAGCCAGAGTACCAGAGAGAACTCGCATGCATGTATGGGGAACATGTAAACTCCATACAGGAAAAAACCCTGGGCTAGGAATCGAACCCAGAACCTTCTTGCTTCAAGGAAACAGTGCTACATACCACTCCCCTGTACAGCCCCTTGTCCATTCCAATGCAGATTAAGGCAGTTTCTTAATATGTGTACTTGTGCATTCTCATGTGCTTGTGTACTTGTGAAACTTCATCAGCCTCAGCCCTAGTACTGTTCCAATTCACAAGAACAGCAGACCGAGAACGGACAAATCCCCTGATGTTTTTCTCGCCCCTCTCTATTTACCGAGTATGCATCAGAGCAGACTTGTTAGTTCCCAAGATTGACAGCTGTCCCAGCATGCACCAGCTTCCAATGGAGCGCTCTAAGAGCTCAGAGTATTAAGTTAAAAGTTCTCTCTTCTGTTGCTGTTGTTCACTAAAAGTACGTTTTAAGATCATATGAGGCGAGAACATTATACTTGTAAGCGTCACTATATGGCCCTTTTACCAATTCAATGCATAATAAAAAAAAAAAAAGGTTGAGAAGACCGCGGCAACCAGCGGCCCTCCAAGGGTAACAGCAGCCAGGTCTAATCCCAGCCCGTCTGCAGCAGCCCCCTCTCGGCATAGTGTGAAGTACCGCTGGTATGAAGTACAGATTTTTTTGTTTTATTTGGCAAAATGTCTATTTGATTTGTGTTTATCTGACTGTGTTCATTATATTCCCCCAATAAATTAAAGTAAGAATTTATTATTATCTAGAGACCATTAATAAACAGGAGGTGTTCCAATTGACCCATATTTATGCTGCGTGGTCCCTTTCTCCCCAAGTCCATACTTGAATGTGTCCTTCTCAAGAACATACTTGGCGATGACACGAGTCTGTACTCACATTCTTGTGAATTGAGAAACGGCCTGACTGTACACATGTTAATTTGATTGGATTCTGTTTCCTGCATCTTTTATCTTTATCTTTGGTTAAGGATTTAACAGTTTACCATCTACACACTTGGTGCACCTTGCCTTAACTGGGTTCCCCATGCGTAAATGTTAATGGAAAGGGTTCAGGTAGGGTGATTAAAACAGTACTCTGTTGTACTAAGAATATAAATTGTGCTACATCAGTATCAATATGCCCTAACCTGTTACTAAGACCACTCCTTGTCCAACTAGGAGATGTCTTTGGATGTAAATCCCAGGGAATTAGCTTTTAGCAAGTAACCTTCACCCTCTCCAGGTTCCCCAAGCACTTGGAATTACTACCATCTGATTCGCTGATCACTATTGGTGTGAGCAAGTATTTCTTATGTGTACTTAATAAAGTGACAATTATTGAGTGTACTTTCAGTATATCTATTGTCTTTCCACAGGCACCTTCGCTAGTCTCTTTTTGCTAAATGTGCAGTGATTTGAATTAATTTGACCTGGCTTTATCTAGTTTAATATAGTTTTTTATTTTAGTATTAATATTCTAATACAATTAAAATAACAGAAACATTGCTATGGTTACAAAATATAATTCTAAATAAACTGTTTTGACATTTTATTTGATTTAAGGACATTTACGTATTGGAAATGAAAGTTCCACATTTTCTTCATTGTTGTAAAAGTCAATGTTTATTAAAGGCTGGATGTTTAAAAATGCCATAACGTAGTTGGTTACAATGCTGCGGCTCAAATGGAACCTTTCATTCATGCACTGACCCTCTTTTTATTGTCTGTTTTGATTTGAGTCACTGGTGTGGTGGGTTAATGAGGGCCTGTGAGTGCAGTTAAGCGTTGTAATGAGGCCCCATGCCCCACTCCAGCTCACTGGGCCACAATAAGTCTGCCACCCCAACCCTTGGCTTCTCTGCTGCTCCTGCTGAGGGGACCTGGCGGAAATTGGGGGGCTCTGCGCCCTCTCCACTGAAGTGCCCGTCACTTCGTATTAGACAGCAATAGTTCCCGTCAGAGCGAGCTGTGAAAAGAACTCAACTCTTGCTCGCCCCCACTCAGTGTTCCCACCTCCCCCATCACCCTTTACTGTGCTAACTCTTTGGACAGGATCGCAGCTTTGCAAAGCTAAAAACTTACAGGACTGGGGTCATGGGGACCGGGAGCCAATAATTGTTTCTGGGCTGTGAGGCTTGGGGGTTACATAAACATTATGTCATCCCTAATTACCTCTGGCAGTTCTGTGCTTCTCTGTTTTAGTGAGAATGAGCTCGACGTGCAGACAAACAAACAAAAAATTAGAGATTCTACGCATTTTTCTAAATTAGTTAATCAGTTTTCCATTAGTTTATAAAAACAATTTGGGTGAGCATTATAGAAATATCAAAAATCTTTTTTATAATTATCTTAGCATTGAGTGTCGAATATAAAGGATAAGGATGATTAACACCTTATCTTTTCTGTCCAGTCATGCACTCTCTACACTCATTCATCTTCAGACTCAGGCACCATCACTGTGGGTGGTTGGTGACGGTGTCTCTGTAATGAAGGACATAATTTTCTCTAAAATACATTGCTTGATTATACGCATTAATGTCACGCAAAGCTAATTCTGCCCCTGAAGGTGTTTACATATTTTCCATAAGCATATGACAAATTCTTTAAAACTTTATCGTTGTACTCGGCAGAGTCTTGAAATATGTCTCTAACCATTTATTGAAGTATGACTCACAGTTTGCTCATCCATGTCTGCAGTGCTATGTTTATAAAATGCTGCTCTGTTTGTGATGATAAACTAGCTTCAGGAGTATGACAAAGTTTGAGGTGTCTGTCTTTTTAGGTATTAATGGGAAGCTAACTATCCTTGACATGTGAATGCAGTGATCAAGCCTAGTCTCTCATGCAAAATGTGGAGTAGTATATGGTATATATATATATATAAAGTATAACTTTACACGACAAAGAAAATTGATATAAATCTTTTATTCCAGTTTTATTTTACGACCACTGTCTTTGATTTGACATGCTCATGTAGTTTTGGAAGATTATTATTTTATTATTTATTTATTATCTATTTATTTTCACAAATCAAACTAGAAACTGAGAATACATCAATAAAAGTGTCACAGAAACCACATAGGGCTTATACCAAACGCCACACCCCTAGAACACAAAACTTCAGGCAGCTCACAATATGAAAGACATTTCACTTGAGAGAGAAAACAGAAAAGACATGTACAATAAAAAATGTTTACATTTTATTTTTCAGATTTCAGGAAGTCAATATTTGTAAAAAAAAAAAAAAAAACATACACCGCTGTCTTTTTTGGATAACAGTATTTTTTTTCAAAGACTTTCTGCCATGTATCTGAAGATTCAAAATATTTTCTATATTTATTCCATAGTTT